CGCACCACCCTGACATAAGCCATTCGGATGATGGTAGAAGTATTATCAGAGGTACGGGAGGGAGAGGGGGGGAGGTCGGGGAAGGGATAGGTAGGGGAAGGAAGGCAGTGGCAGCGGAGGGGGGAGAGGGCAGAAGAGGAAAGAAACCACCAGAGAGAGAGATATAGAGAGAGAGACTATGACAAGCCAGTGCTCGGGCGTGGTCGTGTTCAGCCATTAGGACGTCTGCACGATCGCGTTTCACACGATGAAATCTGGCGGGACAGGCGTGGGAGACCTGGCATTGGACCCAGAGTCGACCCATCATACGGAGCACATCCGCAATGCATTGCATTTGAACAGTCGGGAGCAATTGTGCTCTACGCTGGTTCCAGTGTGGGACAAGGCCACAGAGGCACGTGTGGCAATTGACTTTCCTTTCTCGCTTCCACACGAATGTTTTGCAGCCAGCTACTCGGAGAACCCTGAAGACTTCAACATGCAGAGAGTGGGTCCAGATGAAATCCCACAGCAGTACGAGACCCATCCTGTCACAACTGAGCATGGGAACCTGTCATCCCCAATCGGGTTTTACAGCGACGGCGTGCCTATTTCAAAAAAGACACGTTTCTGTGTTTTTACTGGAGCAATATAAAATCCCAGCGTCGACATTTGATCACAGCAGTACGTAAGTCCGACTGCTGCAGCTGCGGCTGCTCAGGTGCCTGTACGTTAGGCGCTATAATGAGGGTAATCGTATGGAGCTTGAACATCCTGGCTGGCGGCGTCTTCCCATCAACGGATCACGACAACAATCCTTTCACATCTGCTGACCGTGAACTCAAGAGAGGTTTGTGCATCGCCAACGGTCTCCGCGGAGCCTTGGTTGAATACAGAGCCGACCTGTTAGAATTTCAGCAAGCTTTGGGGGTAAAGAGATGGGACAACGTGCAGCACCCTTGCTTTTTTTGCGATTGTAGGAAGTCGGAACTTCATAACTATCCACGCTCTCGTGCTGAATGCACGTGGAGAGAAAAATACGCAGCCACGTATGATAACATGGTTCGCTCCTGCATCAGAACAGTCCGAATCACCAGCAAGAGACAGTTGGAGATCCTACTTGACTGCATGAGGCACGACCCCGATATCGGTGGGTACGGAACATGGCGCTCGTGCCCCGACTTAGGGCTACCCTCTGGCTGGCGTTTGGTTCAGACAGGCCCCGTCACTGATACATGCAAAGTTATGGAAATCCCGTGTTCGGCCGAAGAGCCTGCCGAGCTTACCTTTTTTCGACAGTGGCAATCAGATCGGCCTCAATTTCATCGCTCCCATATTCTCCGTCCTGGGATTTACGATAGACATGGTGGCATTAGACATCATGCATGTAGTTGACTTAGGAATTAGCCAATACCTCTGTGGAACAGTATTGACCATTCTCGTGGAAGGAAATTGTGCCAACAGCCAGAAACGTACTGCAGTTCTCAGGCGCAAGGATAACATAATATTTCTTCGCCGCCGCTTGAGGGCATACTATATAGCAAACAGAACGGTTCTCAAGAGAGGACAAATGTCTCAAATCTTTCGTCTTTCCCTCAAGATGCTCGGGCCTGTGCACGACCCCCGTCTCCGTGCGAAGGCAGCGGAGACGCGACAACTGGTCGGTCTTTTACCTGACTTGTGTCGCGAGCACTCACGTCTCTTCACTGGCCTTGCCGTTTACTTACCGCACTGTTGCACTCAGCTGTTAAAGTTCCAGAACATAGTTGCTGCGAGCCCTCGGCGGTTGTCCCAGGAAGCCCAAAGGGATCTTGAGGATTCCGCTTTTGCGTTCGTGCACTGTTGGAAGAGAGCGGGTGGACACGTGGTGTTCAAACACCACGTGTTCCTCCATCTCGTGCTCCGCGCGCGCGTGATGGGGAATCCCCGCAGGTACTGGACGTACCTGGACGAGGGGGAGAACCGCGCGATGGCTTCCATCGCGCGTTCTCTCCACCACGGGTCCAATTTTTATTTCAGTTTTTTGGAGAAGGCCGTGCCAGACTTGTTCTGAGGTGCCGTGCAAAACGCCCGCCAGATTTCATCGTGTGGGGGGGCAGGGAAGCGAGCGAGCGAGCAGGGTGCGCGCCTTGGAACTGCCAGGGGGCGGGCGGGTGCCACCCGCTCCGGCTGCAGGAAGGAGGGAAAGAGGGAGGAGGGAGGAAGGAGGGAGGTGGGAGGCAGGAGAGAGGAGGCAGGAGGGAGGGAAGGCACCGCCAGGCTGGTGACTGGACTGCTGGATCCGTTCCGGCCTGCAGGCCCTCTTATCAGGGGGAAGGCGTTTCATCGTCCCCTTCCCTCCCGTTGCCCCTCTCCTCGAACCTCTCTCCCCCCCCCTCGGCCTCTCGGGCCCCTCGGGATCGATTCCCTCGAGAGAGCGCGTCGGCCGAGCCCCTTGGGAGCAATGCCGTCGGATGACTCCAAGGGGGGAGCCCCATGGCACTCCATGTTCTGGATGACTGCTGGGACCCGCAAGTATACGTTCATGTATGTATAGCGATAAATGATACATCTATAAATACATGCATGCCAACAAATACATACACACAGCGACAAATGAGGAAGCCAGTGCACAACTCACACAACACATCAATAAACACATACAGACATAAACATGCAAGTTAACCCATACATACACAAACCACGTAAACATACAAACAGCTCAACATTAACATGAAGTACATACGTTAAAACATCCACGCATAACTGGACACATAACTAAACACATGCATACCTAATCCAACATAACATGTAGACATGGATACATATATACATCAGCACATACATAAACAAATCAATGCATACATGCATACATAAACACATCAATGCAACCACACCAATACATGAATGCATACATACATCACTAAACACATACATGAATAAACACCTAAACCAACACAAACAAGTACAGGTAAGTGCACGCATGTGTGAATACATATACATATATATATATATATAGACATATGTATAAGAGCATTGGGGTCCTTGGCCCATGGCCCTGGCGGGCCTTCCAATCCAGCGCCTGCTCATTGGCAGCTGTGCGCAAAAAAATATGGTGGGCACAGCGCCCAGGGCCCTGGGTGCCCTAAAAAACACATTTCAACTTCGCTGGCGTTACGGAGGCGTCAACCATAAGATGATGATGTGGTTCAGCGCCGAGAGCCCGCACCCCTTTTCGAAGAAATATGCCATCAATGAATACTCCTCCTGTCGGACTCCTCGGCCACGCAACTATACATATATACATATCCTGGGAATTGTGGGTCGCCATGTGGCTGTTGCCAAACCGCGGGTCGAATGAAAAATAAGATGCCCCTTTTAAACATGGCATCCTCCATCGATGTTCTTTCGGCCTGGGCTTCCCCGCTGGCGCGGAACTGGGTGGGAGGTCACCGAAGACTGGTGGTGAACTGGGGCCAGAGGGCGGGAGCAGTGCCGAGCGTGCGCGCACGTGGCGGCACGCACCTGCAACCTGCCTCTCCCCCTCGTTCTCCCCCTTCCCCCTCCTCGGCCCTCCTCCTCATGAGCCTCCTCCTCTTCCTCCTCCTCCTCCTCCTCCTCCTCCTCCTCTTTCCCTCGCCTGCTCTCCATCCTCCCCCCCCCTCCCGCCCCACCCCTCCCTGACAAGTGTACGCAAATTCAAAGTGTGATCCTCCACCACCCTCCTCGTCCACCACCCTCCTCCTCCTCCTCCTCCTCCTCTTCTTCCTCCGTCCCCTCCTCCTGTGCCGTCATTAATCATACTCTCCATCATCGCAATAATCATTATCATCAGTACACCACCACCGCCACCATCATCATCAGCATCATCATCACCACCATCATCATCATCAGCATGTGCATCATCATCACCATCACATTACCACTCACCACGTGCCATTCACAGCAGCAGCGCCATCATCACCACCACCAGCACCAACACCATCACCATCATCATCATAATCAGCAGCATCAGCATCAGCATCATCATCATCATCATCATCATCATCATCATCTCACCATTACCTATCACGACACATCATGGCGTCAGCGTGGCTGACCACGGACGGGCGCCTGGGCAAACTCCCGCGCGCCCGCCCCGAACCCCTCACGCGGATCGGGCCCTTCAACCCCTCGCAAGCTACTCCCGCGGAACGGTGCGTGGTGTGCCAGGCCTGAACAGAAATAAATAAGGGCATCTCCGCACCGTGAACTGGTAGCGGAATGTCTTGTATGTAAAGTACCAATGCCTTGTGGATATATCGCTAGCTGCCAATGCTGTCTGACATCGGTCGATATCCCCACGTCCCAATGTTTAATTTCGGTACCAATTTTTCAGCTTGTCTAGATTTTTTTGAAACAGCTAGCAACGTCCCAATTTAATTGCAACGGGCAGATGTCAGGGATAGGATCGGCAGTTTCCCACCCTCTTCCTTCTCCTCTCTCCGCCGGGGTTCCCAGGGATCCAAGGGGCTTCGAGGAGGGCTGAGCCCTGGTAAGGATGGCGGAACTAGCTCGAGCTGGTCAGTAGCCCCTCCAGCTCAAGCCTCGAAGCCAGCGCCTTCTCTTCCCGAGTCCTCCAGAGATGTCCGGACGCGAGGGCAGGGTGATTAAGCCGACGAAGGAAAAGGGGCGCCGAGGCGCTTCGGCCAGTCCGACGATGGGACGCGGGACGCCGCCTCGTCTTCAGCCCGTCAAAGAGGGCGGCCAGCCCGATCAGGTTCACGACTGGGAGAAGGTCGGGGCGAGCGACATCGAGACGACGGCCGACGAGGCGATCGACTACGAGGCGATGACCGAGCTCGAGATCCAGATGTTCCAGGAGGGCCACCTGCGCCTCGATGTGGGGCAGGCGCGCTGGCGGTCGGTCGTACTGGAGCTGCTCGGGGCGGCGGCCGCGTCCCAGGCGATGAAGCATGTCGCCGGGATGGTACCGCACGTGATGCAGAGGGGCAGCATGAACCCGGGCGAGTGTCCGCACCCGCCGTGGGCAAAGTGGTGAGGAGCCAACGGCCGCTCGACCTACACGTTCTGCCGGGCCTGCGACCAGCGGATTGCCTTTCGCAAGAAGACCGAGCAGGAGAAGATGCAGGCCGCCGCGAAGGAGCTGGCCAAGGCGAAGGGGAGCGAGCTTCGCAAGAACATGAAGCAGATGGTCTCGCAGCAGCTCCAGGAGTGGGAGGACGAGTTTGCCAACTCGGAGGGCGCCGACCCACGGCCGCCGAACCCGAGCCTCCGACCGCCTCCGAGGAGGCTCGTGTCCGTCTCGGAGCAGGAGCGCCGCCTCGGCGTACCTGAGTGTCCCCGTGAACGAGGGCTACGTTCCTTACCAGGCGCCTCCCGCGGAGTCCAAGACCGCGGTGCCAGCCAAGTTGCCCCCGGGGACGAGGCCCATGACTACGCGCGAGATGATGATGGCCCTAGCGGACATGAGGCAGTGCATCGAGACCCAGCAGCGCCACAACCAGGGACTCTACGAGACGGTGACGAACATCATGCAGCGCCCAGTGCTCACCGACAGCGACATGACGAGGCTCGCCACGACGATGGCGGCGGTCCTGCGGCAATCGCTGCAGTCCCAGACGGCCGACGCCTCCGGCTCTGGGGGACCAGCGTGAAGGGCGTCGACGAGCCTGGCTTGCTCGCCTCTTTGAGTGAGCGGTCCGGGGCCGCCAGTAGAGGAGTCAGAGGGGATGACATATTCTTGAGAGACATTGGGGTCTGGCACCGTAGGCTTAAGCCTAGAGTGGGTCTCTCGGGTCACGACCCTGTTCTCGGGATCTGGGGCCAAGCGGAGGGAAGATTTGTTAGGGCGGCCGAGCTAGGAGCCAGGTTCGGATCGCGACTTAGATCCACAGGAACGGTCTAGTCGTCTAGTCTCTTCGTTGCCCTGGCCATGGAAGCGTGCGGGGGTCAGTCTTGGAGTCTGGTGCCGGAAAGGCTGAGGTGGGTCGAGGTCAGGTCTCCCGAGGGAAAGGTCTTCATGAACACTCCATGGCTGGGGGCCACCGCTAGCGAGTTTCGGGCTGCTCTCACGAGAGCCAGGCTGAGTGGTGTGCAGCCCTCTGAAGCCGGTCTGGGAGCAAAGCAGTGCCGTCTTGACCTGAAGTCGCGCGCTCCCGCGGTCCGAGTCTGGCAGGAGCCGTCCCCTCTCTCCTCCTGCTCCTCCGCCTCTGTTGATGCTTGCTGTTGCCTGGGAGCCGGGAGCGAGCAGATCGGGAAGACAGGAGGCCCAGAGGAGGCGGGGAGCCTAGCGGTGAGCACGTGCAGCGACTGCTACTACATCATCGAGGACCGCTTCGCGGCTGCCGCCTTAGCTGGTGCGGGGCCCAGCTCATTCAAGGGCGCCGCGGTGCCCGAGGTGGTGCGAGACGCGGCAGTCCGTCTCTTAGATGGCACGGGGCTCAGATCGAGCCGAAAGCTGAGGCGCAAGCAGGTCCTGGAGGCCGAGCGAGCTCGGGAGGGCTCTTTAGTCATGGAGGTCTTCTCGCCCCCCCGGGTGTCTGGCGAGCTGGCCCGCCGGGGCCACAGGATCTCGCCATCGTTCGATCTCCTTGCCTGGATCGACCTGCGGACGGCTCAGGGCCAGAAGGCTCTGTGGGACGCGATCTACCGAGATAAGCCCCTTTTCATCATGCTGTCTCCGGAGTGTCGGGCCTTCAGTCAGGCTCGAGTTTCCTCCTGGGATCGAATGGGCCATGCTACCCTTGTAGAAGTCGAACAGCGAGGCCTGGAATACGTGCATCTTTGTATGCAGGTGGCGCAGCATCAGCGAGAGCAAGGACGCTTTTTCGGACTTGAGCACCCCGAGGGAGCGAGCTCTTGGGAGCTCAGGAAGGTCGAGGCCCTGCTGGGCCTCGATGGGGTCCTTTCGGCGATCACCGATCAGTGCGAGTTTGGTCTTTCGGTCGTGCCTGACGGGGCCCTGTCTCGGAAGCGCACTCGACTCGTTAGTAACTCTCGTGGGTTCTTTAGATGGTGCACGAGGGTTTGTTCTAGACAGCACGAGCACGCTGTGCTGGAGGGGGGGCACAGGACCCACAAGTCTGAGCGGTGCCCGGTCGAGCTCGTCGCGGCGATGGCCTCGGGCATTGAGGCAGCCGCATGGCAGTATCACTTCGCCCCGCAGGCTCTCGTTTTCACTGCTCTCGGGGAGCTCTCAGAGCAGGACGGGTGCTCGGGGCCGACTCGCGGCTTCCCAGGCTCGGCATTGCCGGGACTTTCTTCAGTGGATCAGGTCCTCGGGGCCACTCCCGAGGGCGCCGGAGCCGACGAACTCGACGAGGAGGAGGCCACAGAGGGGCTTCCGGGGCCGATGCCAGGCCCCGCGGGGGTTCCCGCGGGCGAGCAGGCCCCCGAGGGTCTGGACTCGGCTCTTCAGAAGGAGGTCCACCGGCTGCACGTTAACCTCGGTCACCCCCCTTTGGAGGATTTCTTGAGGACTCTGAGGGTTGCGCGTGCCAGTGTCGATGTGATTAATTGGACCAAGAAGGAGTTTGTGTGTGGTACGTGCGCCTCTCATGCTCGGCCTCATTTCGGGGGAGCGTAAGACCCGGGTTTGCCGGGACTCGGGTTCGCCATCGTTTTTTGACGACCGCGACTCGGATTTTGACGAGGAGGAGTTTCGTGGGATGTCTGCAGCGGGAGGCCTCGTCAAAATGCAGGCTCGGCCTCGTCATTTTTTTGACGACCTCGTCGGGGATTTCCGAGTCCCCCGTACCCGGGTCTTACGTCTCCCCGATCATTGGAGGCGCCACGCTCATCTCCCTAGGACTTACGAGTTTAACAAGCTGGTTGCCGTGGATCTGTTTTACATCGCAGTGGACGGAGTCAGTACCCCTGTGCTCAATGTCCTGGACCATGGGACGAATTATCAGCAAGCTTGTCTGTTGGTGAGTGATTTGGCCCTGAATGCGTGGCGAGGGTTTCTGCAACTCTGGGTGCGTCCGTTTGGACTTCCGGAGATCTTGATTTCAGATGGGGGAGGTGAGTTTGAACGAGAATTTGCTCGAGGGTGCGAACACCAGGGAATATTCCATCAGGTTGTGCCGGCCAGCTCCCCACATTATAATGGGAAGTGCGAGCGGCATGGCGGCATTTTAAAGGACGTGCTGTCCAAGGCCTCTCTGTCCCTTAGCCCGACCACTAAGGAGGAGGTGGAGGCGCTGCTGTGCGAAACGGTCGCCGCGAAGAACCGTGCCTATCACAGGGGAGGATATAGTCCAGCGCAACTTGTCCTCGGCCACAACCCCAGGGCCCCCCGATCGCTCCTGTCGGATGATGCTTTGGATCTCGTGGGGACTGAGGACATTCTAGGGGGCAGTTGGTCAGGATTCGGCGGCGGCGGAGTTCGCGAGACGTCGCAAAATTCGGGGGGCTGCTCGAGCAGCGATGGCCAGCCTTTCCGAGGCTAGCCGTGCTCGTGTTCACGCCGATAAGTTTTTCAAACCAGGGGGGTGGGTCTACGTGTGGCGAAGGGTGACGGCCGCCAATCGGAGCCGCGCTCTCCAGAGAGATCGGTGGACCGGGCCGGGCGTAGTTGTGTACCAGCGGGGGGGGGGGGGGCCATATGTGTTGCGATGAGGTCCAAGCTGTATAAGTGTTCCGAAGAGCAGGTAAGACCTGCTTCCCGTCAGGAATCCCTCGGCGCCGAATTGCTGGATTCGGCTCGATTTGATGAGCTCAGGGAACAGGTCAGGACCCCCGGCCGCCGCGCGGGAGCGGTGGACGTAGCCGCCGAGGGGCCGCCTCCTCCCGAAGCGTGGGATCGCCCCGTGGCCGAGGCCGGGCCCGAGCATCCGCCCCCGGAGACCCGTGCTCTGGCTCCGGTCCCGGCCCCAGGTCCGTCGCGCCAGGTGTCTTCGATAGGCCCCGGGGAGGCTTCGACTCTTCTTTCCCCGCCCTCCTCTTCCTCCCTTCCCCAGGGGCCGAGCTCGGAGGTGCCCGAGCCTGCCGAAGAAAGCAGCAGGGCTCCAAGTGAGCCCACGGCGGCCGGGGAGGACGTGTCTCGAGGTCAGTCGAGGGCAGCCTCCGAGTCCGTGGCTCCTTCAGAGCGTCCATCTTTGCGCCCTGGGTTGACCCCGGTGGAAGATCAGCCGGGCTCGCGACCCCACGTTCGCGAGATGGCGGATGAGATCGAGCGAGCCCCGAGGACTGAGGCCGAAGTGCCGGCTGACCAGGCCGTGAACTGGGTGCACGGCCGGGCTCCCACGATGAGGTCGCTATCGGCCCCCAGAGCTCGGAGATCAGCCCCTTTCATCCGGCCTCCAGGGGCCGCGGGTGGGCCCCCGGTTGAAAGTCAGCCAGAGGCAAGTGGTGCCACTGGGGAACCCGATCCCGCTAGCCCTGATCTCCCGAGCTGGTGGGCCGAGCCAGACGACTACCAGGATCACTTTTTGCTGGGCGAGCTGCGCGGGTGGTCAGAGATTCCTGGCGCGCCCAATTACTTGAGTTTCTTTGGCCTCGGCGAGGCCTCGGATGATTTTTCGGGCGCCTCAGGGGTGCGGCCCAACAATCCTCGAGGGGCGGAAGTCGTGTGGAAGAAGCTCTCCCCCGAGGAGCGGGCCCAGTTTGTGGCTTCAGATCGGGCCGAGTGGGAAGCCATTGTGTCCTCGGGGGCTGTGAAGGTGCTGACTCCAGAGGAGTCTCGCAGTGTGCGTCGTCGGTTTCCCGATCGCATCGTCTCGTCTAGGATGGTGAGGAGGTTTAAGCCAATGGAGGGAGTGAGTGCGGCTGCTAAGGCGAAATCGAGGTGGTGCGTCCACGGGCATCAAGATCCGGACGCCGAGTCTCTTGCAGTGTATGCACCGACTCCCCAATCGGAGTCGATTGTTCTGGTGTGCCAGATTATTGCTTCGCTCAGATGGCAGCTGAATGTGGCCGATGCTAAGAACGCTTTCTGCCGAAGCAATAAGCTCAGGAGGCCAGCGGGCGCCATCTATGTCGAGCCATGTTCCGGACTCGAACAGCAGCCGGATCAACTCATCGAGCTGGTAGCTCCTGTCTACGGCTTGAATGATGCCGCTCTGCTCTTGCACCAGACCCTCACAGAGCACCTGGCTTCCCTCGGTTTTGAGAAGTCTCTTTTGGAACCATGCCTCTGGCTGAAAAGAGACAAAGTCGGCGCCCTGGAAGGTTTGATTCTGATAGAAGTGGGCGGCTTAATCGTCTCGGGCCAGGCCAGTTTTGTCCAGGGGCTTCGGACCGCGCTCCGTGAG